TGAACTATGTTATTTCTCCCGGGACGCTTTCAAGTAAGCTATTTAAAAAATAGCTTTACATTTTATTATTTATGTTTTAGTTGAAATACGTTTGACATGTAACATTGTGTAAACTGAAGGTTACACATGTCCCTTTGATACATTTGTAATCATAATATGACTGTTGTTGTAGCGACAATCAGGGCTAGTCTCTTAGCGGGTACGATGCTTATAACACAGCACTGTCTATATTCATTGTCCTGTGCACTAGACCCCCAGGACTTAATCACTGCTGGTTCCAAGTTTTTCCCTTAAACCACATCTGCCTCATCCCCCCACCCTCAGCCCCTGGCAACCACCCTTTCACTGCATTTTTACAAGTTCTGTTTTGTTTTATTTTGTTTTGTTTTTAGATTCCACATATGAGTGAGATCCTGGAATATTTGTGTTTCTCTGGCTTAGTTCACTTAGCAGGATGCCCTCAAGGTCCTCCCATATTGTCTCCAATGGTAAGATTTCCTTCTTCCTTATCGCTAATATTCCACTGTATGTATATATATATATATATACACCATCTCTTCCTTATCCATCAATTGATGGGCACTTGGGCTGCTTCCATATCTTGGTTATGGTAATAATACCACAATGAAATGGGGGGTGTAAACATTGGATTCAATATCCTGCTTTTATTTCATTTGGCTAAATACCCAGAAGTCAAATTGCTAGATTGTAAGGTATTTTTAATTTCCCGAAAAACCTCCATACTGTTGTCCAGAGTGGCTGCACCAGCCTGCATTCCCACCAACAGCGCACGGGGGGTCCCCTTTCTCCGCATCCTCGCCGACACCTGCTGTCTCCTGTGAAGTCGATACTAGCCATTCTGATGGGTGTGATGTCTCATTGTGCTTTTGATTTGCATTTTCTGATGATGAGTGATGTGGAGGGTCTTTTCTTGTTTCTGACCACCAACTGTATGTCTTCTTTGAAAAAATGTCTGTCTGTGTCTTCTGCGCATTTTCGAAATTGGATTGTTTTCTTTGCTGCTGCTTTTTGAAGCGTATTGAAAGGTAGCCTTTTGAGCATTTATGAATTAAATGGTAATCACTAGGAGGCAGCTTGCATATAAACAAACAAACTGACGTGCAGGAGGTTGCTTCTCTGGGGCTCACACACCCCCACGGCAGCTGAGACCAAACAGAGCTGAGCTGTCACTATCTGAGGCTGGAGCTGGACCTGCAGGGAATGCTGCAGCCCCCGCCCCCAGGGCCACAAGGAGGTGCATGTGGGCTCTGACTGCGCCTTCCCTGGCTGCATCACCCAGAGCCGGCCTCTTCCCCTCCCTGGGTCTTCCCTACGTTTGCCCCACTCTGTGCGGCCCGTCCAGAGTCACGGTTGACATTTAGAACACACTCAAAAATCCCTCATATTCCCATTACTGACACGGACCGTGGTGTTTCAAGGTGGGAACAAAAGGGATTGAACTGTGGACCTCCCGTGGGAGCCTGCCTTGGGCCTGACCTCCGACCTGAGCTCTGGTCTGGCTCAGCAGTGTGAAGCCAGTGTGTGAACCCGTCGGCATCACCCTCCTCGGCGGCAGCCCAGCGGAGGCTTGGCCTTTCACTCGGCAGAACGGAGGAGAGCCCAATGGTAGCGTGCCATTCCTCGGAGAGCACCGACTGAGTCATCAGAGCGAGTCAGGATCATGGCTCCTGTATGAAGGGGTCCAGGACCCTTGTTTATACAAATAGGCACCTTACTGGTGAGCATGTGACCACACCATTCCAACACACGGGGAGACACAGGCGTAAAGGTAAATACAAACCTCAAATGAAAGGGGCAGAGCTGGGCTCTGTGAGGCCTGCAGAACCAGCTTCAAGTGGAGAACTATGAAATTCTGAACCCCAAACTAAGTGTTGGCCATGGAGGGGGCCCATCCATGAGGAGCCCGGAAGCCTCAGCCTCGTGAGGTTCATGGTAGCTTTGTCCCTCAATGTAAAAGTCAGGAATCCCAGATAAGTAAGCCTCAAGTCATGACTTCTCTCTCTCTCTCTCTTTTTTTTAAATTTTATTATGTTTGTTAGTCACCATACATTACATCATTAGTTTTTGATGCAGTGTTCCATGATTCATTGTTTGTGCATAACACCCAGTGCTCCATGCAGAACGTGCCCTCTTT